CCTGCGTGTGGCGGTGGCAATTGGCACGCAGTCAAATTCAGTAACGATTTCGATGTGCCTGTCTGGAACAGCCGGGTTTTTCTGAATCTGGCTTAGGGTTTGCTCCAGTGTAACCTTCCCCTTCCTTAGAGTTTATAGCTAAAGGCTGGCAGTTTCATTTGTGTTTGCCTGCAAGATTAAAAGTTGATTCTGAGTGTACAAGTGCAACATATGAATGGGCGCTGACCCCCGCAACCGGCCAAGTAAGTGTGACTTTTTCTTAAAATACTTGAAGTAGATCCATTCCTAAATCAAAATTATGGGTTATAATGTTATGCAAGATTAAACTTTTTCGGCATAACTATGAAATTTCGAATTGTTTCGACATAAGCTTAAAAACTAAGAAGGTGGGCCAATTTTCAAAGCTTCTTAGTTTCTTTGTTTGTGATCGAATAGCTTCCAAATTTCGCCATAATGATACCTATATGCTCACAAGTAATAAACAATAGCTAGAAGAAAAATTTCTCCACGGGGAAAAATTCAGGTCCGAAAGGGTTAGAATACACGCAGCACCCCATTTCTCATTTCTGCAGTCGACCTTCTCTCCCCTTCGCTCCTTTAAGACGACGTTGATAGAATACATCTGTTGTTTAACATTGCTTCATGTGGTGTGTTGGAATTGTGCTATGATTTTCGGTCTTCCTTATATAGAGGCACATGCGGGAACCACAGAACCATGGTTAATTTTTCCTGAACGGCCCTCTGAATACCAGAAAAGGGGTCCCTAGTCACACCTTTTTCACCAGTTTTTCAATCAAAGTCTATTTGTAAGGGTTACTGACGTTCCTAATCATGAATTTGGTACTAATTATTCATGCTAACTCCATTTTGCGCGAATTTGGAAACGTCAACACGAAATGCAAAAACTTGTCACCACGAGGAATCGAACTAGGGACCAGCAAGAAACCATTTTGAAAAAGCTTGGCACACCCTGAACGACCTCCCTTGTCAGACCCGAAACGTTATCAGTGAAGTTTTATTAGAAAAGAAACTTCATTCTTCATCTATTCCAGTTTTAAACAATAAAGCTCAGGAAACCATCAGTGCTATCATAATTGTACACCATTTTCTAGGAACTGTTTGTTTGTCGCGTGCCCTGACGAGTCGCTTTTATCCTCCGTTTGACGGGACCTCTTGGCTATGAGTCTAGCTCGAAGGGTTGTACTAAACCCTGTAAACCTACGTAGATAACGATCAGAACATAGTCCAAAAGTTTAATGTGCAATATAATAACTTTCTTGAACCACCACTTGCCGCAACGGGAACTGCGTCATTCTTAAGAATAGGGCGACGTAAATTAAGAGATTGGGACCATGCCACCGTCATAGGGATCATTTTAGATTAGTTAGGCTAAAAATAAATTTTGGTTCGCACCAGGAGGCCACCGTGAAACCTTCGAAATGGTCCTAAAGGGGTCATATGCATGGTACATACCAATGTCATTAGACATTAGGTTTTCCTATTTACTTCATTTATGTCTGGGCCGAACTGCAAGGGGGAAGTGTTTAGAGGCAAGTGAAGCTACTTACCAAGCATGCAGTGCAGGGATTAAATCCTGGGTCGTGCCTCTCCTGAGCCAATCCTCCATCCCTCTGGAGTGTACCAGACTTGTCTGGGAGGATAAAACACTGACTTGTACATCGGCTGGCCCCCGCAAGTCATTGTATAGGCCACATCGCATTCAAATGCCACTGCGATTCTGAAATGGAAGTAGAATGCGTGGCCGCATCCCAGAACAAGGACTATTGACGCGGAATACTTTGTCCTTCATTATTATTTACTCCATCGAGATGACGTATTCTAGGGAGATTTGATGGAAATTCTTCGCAGGTAGAGGCTTCAGTATGTGTTGTTGACAAGAAGACTGTGGATCTTCACGTGTTGAAGTTCGGAATAACATCCTGTACGTCGGCTCTATAAATGGTGTTCACAATTTTGAAAAGTTCGTGATGAGGAAGACTCTTCCATTGTAATGCAGATACTTCTCTTTGGAATTTGTGACGAGCCCTCAAAACCAGGCCGTTTCAGATTCAGAACAAGTGATAATTGCGAGAATTGGCTTTAGGGTTGACATCTGCTGAATAGGACCTCCAGATCCACAATTAAAGCATGTCTCCCCTCCCCCTTCATAATCGTACATTGCAAAAGACAGATCACGAGCCATAACTTTTAACAATTAACTTTCAGTTTGAGCTCTAATTTCAGGTTCACCTCAATATTGGATATAACTTAACTAAAAACTAGTTCTAATATACGCCGTCTTGAACACTTTTGAAAGTGACAGCGGTCACTCCGCTACCAAAGAGGCAAAAACGACCCCTTGTCGAGGGTTTCCATGGCCGTTGCTTACCTTGAGGCTAACGACTTCTTGAAGTCTACAGGCTCCATTCTAGAAAAGCGATTTGCATCGCTACCTCACTGGCGTATAGTACGCCGGAGCCCTATTCCCCGAATTTTTCATAAGCAGCCTCACCCATTGTGATGTAACGGTATCCAGTTTACAACCACTATATTAAAGGCAAGATTCGGGATAAAATAGGTGTGGAAAAGCGTTCAGTTATGAAGCTATAGGTGGGAGGTGGTCTGTAAAAGAGAAGGAAAGCAAACGAAACCACCGATTACGCCCCGTACAGAGACCTCCCCTATTTCAGCCACATTCCACTTGGGATAGAGAAGAGGCGAATTGGACGAGTTTCACGAACCTAACTCTACTTGCTCCAGTGTCAATAACATTGGATCGCGCTGGGACCACTGCCTCAAATGCGCCCGCGCTTTTCAAGCAGCGCCACGTGGCAACCGACAGCGAAGGGTGGGGCTTGCGGACGAAGGTGTGAGTTGCGGGTTGGACGAGCTCCTTGCGCCTTTGTCGCGCAAAGGGGCCCGACATCAACACTTGTCCACCTGCCTACTACCCCCTGGATGGAACAGGCGAGCCCGCCTGGTCGCGGAGCGTGCCTTAACCCATTGGCGACAATGCGATTTTTCGCTTGTCTGCCGCGTCGGACCGCGCCTTTTTTGACATTTTTGAAAAATGTGTCATAATGCGGCTATCCACCTGCACCAAAAATGTTGAATCTTGAAGCATGAACTGTTAGAACTTTGCAAGTTTCGTATGATTGCAGACCGCTTCCAAAATGAGCGTAAATCTTTAGGTTTTGCCGAGGGTGTATATTGGAGCATGCCAGAAAAACTTCAAATCTCCACTTTAAAACCCGTAAATGGGGTCGGATCCAGATCTCTCTTTGTGAAATGTTGTAGCATTACTCTAGCTGACTCCAGGCGAAAAGCCAGCCGGATGCATTCAAAAATAACAAGCTTTGCCTTGGAAAATCACTTTCAAGTACCGCTCGTGTAAAACATCAACTAAGGAAGATATGCACTGACCATTAATACCGTAAGTATGACAACGCCTTCCTGATTAGTATGCTATAGGAACACTTCTGGAAATCCTGCGGAGAAGAGTTATCTCAATGCTGCGTCCCCACATCGAGCCGCATTGTCCGTCGTGGCAAAAAAAGTGCGTCCCCGCGTCGAGCCGCAATGTCGCCAATGGGTTAAACAATTTCGCAAATTAGAGTAGCAGGTCGTGAGACGAAGTTTTGTACGCTTCTCACCGCATTAATATAAAGGCCCCTGCTGTCCATGCGATAGCAAAACCCTGCCCATTCTGTAGTTGGCTCATAAGCACCTTGTGGAGAATAAAATCAACCGAATCCTTGTTACGCTAATGCCAGAAACTCCTTTATGATTTCCGAAGAGGCAGAACTCCCTTTATGATTTCGAAAGGTAAGTAGAATTCTCTGCGAAGCAGTCCAGTTTTTTCATTGAGACAGGATTGATTTGCGATCCTATCCTTATTAACCGACGGACCCTCTTCTCTGCGCCATTTGAGCTTTCTGCTGTGCTCCCTCCCACTGATAAACTAGCAGCTCGCTGAAAGGTTACGTAAATACATAAGAAAAAGGTGTTCCACATAGTGAAGGGCAGCAACACAAGATGCAATATGACATGATGTTGTAATGTCAACTGAATACTTACATAGTTTAGTGCCGTTGGTCTCTTGGGGCAGCTTTCCATCAAATTTCCACTTCCGCTCATTCTCTTCCCTACTTTCCGCTCCACCTGGCCGTCTTAGATGCCACTATAGGCTGCTAATGTGAAATGATCTAGACAGCGCTTAATAGCTTTATAATATACCAGATTAGTCCCCCGTCAACCGCCGGGACCTTCCTTTCCTGCGCAAGCTTTCTATCCTCCGCTATGGTCCCTTCCTCCTGTGACACCAACACCTCCTGGAAGTGACGCGTATGCAACACAATGGTGTTTCATACAGTAGAAGGGACACAATCATGATATGACGGTAGATTTTTCGCTTCCTTCCTCATCCTCCCTTCCTCTCTCCACTGCCCTCCAGCTGCCACTGCAGCACCATGTGGAATGAACGGAAGTGTGCTAAGCAGGTGTTTATATAGCCCTAAGAGTGTTATCACAACTATCCTGCTACAAAACATTGATATCTCAAATCCTGTAAGCTACCCGATTTGTTAGCGGTTTGTTTATCCCATGAGCTTCCTTCTCACTCACTTCATTTTGCGGACGGACACACATACATACATACATACATACATACACACACACACACACACACACATACAGATACACAAACCGACACACAAAGTTAGCGCTTTATAAAATAGAAGGATACCCTTTATATATCTCAATCACTGCAGAACTCGATAGCTCAGGTTCTACGAGCTGCCCGGTGATAGCGACTTATTCATCATTTAGCATCCTTATAACTCCATTGTCGCCGGACATATGTAAATACCGACCGCCAAGTCAGCGGTCTAGCAATCGCGTCACTGTTTGCAGATGTTTGTGTAGTGTTGTGATCTACTTCTGTCATGTTGACGAAACGCAAGAATTTATCTAGAACACATGAAATAAATCTCGCTCACAATTTATCCACCCACAGGGGCTGAACAGTTTTTCAGTAAACCTATGAATGTCTTTGCACTTGAATTTCGATAAGTTGTATTCTGAGCGGTTTCTACGAAGAAAAGGTAGGCAGTTCCACAGCCCTGAAAAGGATGTTGCATCATACCAATAGCGCTTCATTCCTCTTCTCCTTTATTGTTCATTGACACTGAAAGGACTCCTAGCTTACAAACAAAACGAGAAACTGACGTAGTGGTTGAGCTGTTTTTAGTCGTCGTAATATTTACCTGATAACACACGTAGTTGAGCAAAAATTGAGCACCCATGAAAACATTTTCTTTTAGTATTGATTCTATATTGTGCCCCCTCCCCTCCCCAACCCCCGCATGAGCTGAATCAGGCCCATGAGGAAAAACAGGCTTCACTGTTCCTCACCGTCTAAGGTATATGACGTCATCTGCCATCACTCTCGAGTTTAAGGAGGCCTACCGCAATCGCTCCAGCCTCCTAGAGCCTACAAATTCTTTCAGTCGTTTGTCTTTGGACAGTTTCTCACTGACAGTAGCTGTGAAAATGAGAGAACGCTTTTGACCAGTGTCCAGAGAATGTCGTAATGGTCCAAGATCCTTCGGGATCTTGTTCGCTTTGCTTGGTCATGTACTGCGATCCTATGGAAGATTTTCTGATGCCCTTGGGGTACAAGGCAATTGCGACGATTTTTTGAAATAATGGAAAACGCTCCCTAATATTCAGTTAGGGTCACTCGGCTTCAGCTTATCGAAGTGTAGTTGATTGGCGTTTTGATGTGAATAAAAGTGGCTCTATTTTTTGCCTCCTCCCTGTATTCGCAACCCACCGCATATGTATGAACGGCCATTGGAGAAAAATTTGCGCTCACATTCTGGATCGAATAAGACACCGTATAGTACACGGCTAGATCCATTGGACCCTGCAAAGGTTCAAAAAAATCATATTGTCTAATCATGATGATCACACATCATCACAGTCTTGAAAGCAGAGCATTTTCAAATGACGTACAAATGTCATATAGGGGAAGAGTCTTCTAAGTTCACTGATTAGGGAGTCATTGGCAAAGTAGTAGTTTAACGTCCGAATAACTTGGCAGCGCGACGCAGAAGGATGTGCTGAATATACCAAGATGGCCAAGGCGAACAGGTGCAGCCTTGATAGTTGCAGAATAGAGTTGTGTAGAGGCAATCGCATACCAGCCAATAATATTCCAGTTTTTCGTCGGCTTTTATTTTCCTATCCACTATTGTTCAGAGACCGTGTGTGTCCTATTATATGAAGCTATTGTGCTGATATACATGCAGGATAAGAAGACTCTTTGCAGGCCAGTAATCATCTCTGAAAAAGCTATTTTTGAATTTCAGCCTCGTCTGTTTATCAAATGCTGTTCTGACGCCGCAGTGAAATTGCGAAAGCTCCATAGGATTGCCAAGTTATGAAGCAAAAGCTTGGTCACGGCGGATTCAAATCCGTATTTCTCGCTTACCGGGCGGCTTCCCTACCATTAAAACACCGGAACGTGATTTCACTCTAGCTCAATTTTTTGTATGACATATTTTAATATCTCGAAAGAAATCCGAGAAAGTCGGTGGAACGTCGATACTGACGCCCTCAGGCGGGCATGATGATCGAGCGGCGTGACGGCGCAGGTTTTTATTGAATAGTCTGTGAAAAATGACTGCAGATTTTTGTATCTATTTATCACAACTTCGTTAACCACTCCGCTCCCTTTCCCTCATCGCTGACGCACAAGAAGTTTTTTGATAAAGCCTTTATATGGATACATTAACGATGTATTTCAAAGTTAATGAAACTTACTGGCAGGGCCCTAGCCATTTTCTTAGCAATTGCCCCGAAGTCTTCGCCCCTTAAACTCAATGCGTAAACCGATTCTCTGCAGATTTCAAAAGTCTGCTGCCTCCATATTTTGTGCAATCCTGTATTTTTTTTAATTTTCCAGCATGCTTGTAGCTCCCTCTGCATGTCAACGATAACAATATAGAAACCAAAGTTCCTTAATACAACGTATGAGGCCTTTTAGCAATTAAGTTCCTTTCCTTCTGTACGGCGGCGAAGGATGCCTGCACTTCAAGCTCCAACACCAAGTGACGACTATGAATGTTCAGGTAGGTTTTCCCATGCGATATCGCTTGGGACCCTAGCTATCCATGGATATCAAACAGCTCCGTTTTTTTTTTGAGAAAAATCGTAGAACACCCAACTTAGCAAGATTCTTAATTTTCTTTTGGACGTACTTTATCCAGGCTTAAATGGAGTAAGCTAGGATCCCAAGCGCTGCACAACTGTGTAGTGATTACACACTTTTCCGAAATTTGCCTAGGAAAAATGATGGAGAATAATCACACGTTCACGAACCTAATGTATATGTTAAAATCCCCATCAAAAGTGTTAAATTTCTCTTCATTTCAGAGTCAGCGCCGTCAGAGCTACTAAAGTGAGACCTAAGCAGACGTCTACAAACACGAAAACACTCTCTTTTGTTCTCTATACCGTTTCATTGAATCGCAGTTTTATTGCTAAATTCCGTCCAGACCCCCCCCCCCCCCTCCTCAAATCCACAATAGGGAAAACCGATTTTTGATGTTCATCATTTTGCGCCAATTTCCAAGCTGGTCACAAATCTGTTTTTTTACATAAGCGCAACTATTATTTGGTTGCAACAGTATATGCACATATACTACATGCGTGCAAAACACTTATCAGGATTTGCTGACAGAGTCGCACGAAAACGAGGCTGATATTATGAGGATTTGCTGCATTGCTTTCAAAAATACGCTGTTGGTGTTCGAACAAACAATTGCACAATCGTACCTTCTGACGCGTACTTAATACCTGAGCATCACGTCCGAATTTGCATAGTTCCGGGTGCGGTGCTGTAGTCCAAGGTTTCGACACGTTTCTTACACACAACGCAGTGAGAGGTTACAGGTTGTCCGATTGAGTAGTGGCAATCGTTTTTTAAATGAATTTTCGTTTTTTCGAATGTAAAAGGAATTCTGTGACACTTTTTCCCACGAAACTTGAACATCCTTCAAGACGAAATCCTCCGCTCTATAAAACACATCGTATTTTTTCCATACTCCCTGTGATTGCTCTGGATTACAGGCTTGCAAGGCGGAATTTCTAGCAAACGAGAATTAGCCGAACCGGCATCTAGCTCAAATTCTATGTTCTTTCAAAGAAATTAGTAAAGGCTTCGTTACTACTCACGACCTTTTCATAACTTACACTATTAATCTGCTTTACAAGTGGTATGGTACTTTTTCAAAATTTGGTTATCCAGAACTCGATGTGATGCTATCCTCATCGGCTCCAGTACCCGGAACTTCATTGGCACTGCCGACGTTGAAAAAACTCCACAGGTCGAGGCGTTCAGGAAAACTCGTAACTAATTACGGTGGGTCACTGATTAGTCTTCCGGCACTTCTTGTGGAAAATTTTTTTTGGAAGTGGTGTCGTCATTCTTATAGTGGTGCTGTCCGCTCCTCCAAGGGGTGCCACTGGGAACTGCTCACTTTTGTGAGCTGAGCTGAACACGGACATTCGAATGCAGGCGACAGGCCCCCGTGACAGGCCGGCCTACGAACACCCACGTCACATCACAAATGTCATGTCGCCATAATATCAGGTTGGTGCATAATACCGTAGCGTTTTTCTTTTCGAGCTGCGAATCTAGAGAATACGAGTATAACCCAAGAAACACATATACCCTTCGAAAGAGCTTCTTCTGCCCTACAATACTATGTTTGGCATTTTCTTCTATACTGTAAGTGTGTACTCAGATATGGCGCTTAGAAGTTGGAGAATCAAGGTGGGCGAAAATCTATATAGAGAAGAAAGCTGCCAAAATAGGAGTTTTTCGGAATCCATCATCGAACCTTACTCCGGTCGTCCCTTAATTTCAAATCATATTCACGTCGTACAATTGAGAATAATGAGGATTCTAGAAAACGGGCTCAGTACCCTTTTTTGATTTCTAAACCTGGTAATTTCTTGCGAAATGAAAGTCGTAAATAATGATGAGAAGAACATCATTGATCAGTTTTACGTAACTAAGAATAATGTAATAGTAACTAATGCGTCAATCCGGCCCGATCTCTTCCTCCCAGCGGGCCAATACGACCCCCCCTGTGACGTGTCGAGGATTCCTCAACGCACGCTTGACCCTGGTGTCGACTCATGGAGCGTAGGCTGCGTCAGGTGTTTGCTACAGTTTCCTGCTAATAGCGTCAGGATGCACTTCCTATTCGTTGCGCAAGGGGTCCTCATCCAAAGTGACTGGAGGTCCATGATGAGGTCGAACTTTGCAGCTCCTATCTCTTTGCCGATGCTATTGAGCCAATAGCTCAGTGCCCGATCAGTAGCAAAGACTGGGCAAACGTAGCGCTGATCTTGCCTACCGCGCTCCTTGCAAGGTTCTTCTTAAATTGTCGTAAGGCATAATGTTGGGTTTGGTCGTTGATCTATTTTGATTCCTACTTAATTATCCCGTTGCGCATTTGAGCTTCTGAAACATCCTGGCTGAAGGTCCTGATGTGTTCTTCAACATATCAACTTCGTTATGAAGCTAATTTGACATGAAGAAAATTGAATTTGAACCAAAATCGGCCAGAAATTATGGGACAACCCAGTAGAAGGATTACTGTGCGCAGAGTTTGTGTAGTGTTGTGAGCTACTTCTGTCAGGAACTTGTCAAATAAAAAATTTATCCAGAATACATGAAAAA